GCTGAATAATGTCTCCGTCAAGCATTAAGTGAATGGATGAAAAATTATTCAGCTTTGCCAGTAAAGGTCGACTGCCAAACGCAATTGCTTGAGTTTTAGCAGTATTTAATTTAAGGCCATAACGTTTGGACCAATCCAAAATATTGGAAAGGTCATGATTAAGACGTGCAATTGCTTCCGGAAAATCATCAATAGTTGTCGTAGTGTAAATTTGGAGGTCATCAGCATACACATGATAATTACAAGAAATACAGTGGGTGACGGCATTAATAAAAATCGAAAAGAGCAACGGACCCAACACACTACCCTGAAGTACACCACATTTAATAGCACAAGCAGACGAGAAATAAAATAAATGGAAAATCAAGGAAAACAATGTAAATGTATTTAATAAATTGGTAAATCATGTAATATTGTTAAAAATTACTATTACGAATATGTAAAATACGGGATGGCCCCACCACCACTTTCTGCGTTCAGTCGGCCGAATAGCGTTGCAACTATGCATAACGCGTTGGCATCATTGTGCCGAATACAGTCTAATAACGTATGAATCTCTTATAATAATAATAATAATAAACCACTTTAATCTGTCCATTTAGTGTTTGGTGCCCTTTAGTACGTATACAGGGTGTCCCGTTAAGCGTACGGAGCGGCTGTATCTCTAGAACGGTAAGGCCTAGAGGTTTGGGAAAAAAATCCTTATAAGCAAAGTGACCAAGAGAAATAGCTGGAAATTATTTTGAAGTTCGTAATTCGACCGCTAGGGGGCGTAACTGCCATTGAGAAACATAAAGTTCCCGCTATCTCAGAAACTTAGACGATGAGCTATAACTTTGACAACATCATTTAATAGCTTGGATAATACCGCATCGCTTTTGTTTTGCGATATTTCTCATATCTGTCATAATAAGGGAGGGGGAGGCCAATGCGTTTTCATATGTTTACATTTTAATATCTCCTAGACCATTCAACCGATTTGAATGTTTTCGGTGTTGTTTGAAAGAGCATTTTATGCTCTTTTTAAAGATATTTTCAGTAAGACCGTCTGCTTTAAAACAAATGAGCTAGAGGACGTTATCTGCAGCGATTACATATTTTTGTGATTTTTGAAGAAAAGTTAAATGGAACGATACTATTTACTTCACAGACCCTTAGTCACCTTAAAATTTGCTAAATTTTAGTGAAAACCGCATCTCGATATCGCCACCCGTTCTCGAGTTATAGAAGAAAATGTTAAAAACTCGAGTGCCATCAATCGGATCCAGTTACCTCATCGAGAAAAACAAATCACATTACCATGGTAACTGTAAACATGTCATTTACTAACGCAGAAGCGTATGATAGAGCGTATGATGATTTATTTTCAATGTTTCGAATACGATGCAACTGCATGGCAAAAATGTGCAATGCAATTACGACAAAGAAAGACATTTTTCTCTAGAAGTGTTTTTAAGATTGACTTAGCGATTACGGAAAACTGGCAACGTGTAGCCCATTCAGACATCTCTATGAATTCGTAAATCATATTGGTGCGCAATGTGATCCCACATAATCTGGGAACTCCGAAAACAATTGTCCACAAGAGTTCTCAAGAGAATAATATCTCCACCACGTTGTTTTACATCAGGCCTTAACAGATACCGATTATGATAACAGACTGAACTATTACCATTGACTTTTAAATATGATTTGGGCAAATCCAAACCTTTTATCACAAATGCTATGGATGCATGAAGCATCTGTCCACAAGCTGATGTAAACTTGCATAATATGCATTCTTGGTTCGAGCAAAACCCACATTGCTTTCACCCCTTTATCTATTGGGTAGACTAAACGACCTGACTTTTCAAGAAAAACCAATAACCAGGGAAAATATGACAAAACACTAAATACCAGTAGAAACGTGTCCAGGGCCGAGACTTAAGCAGCGCTTTTTTTTCGTCGAAACTAGATTAAATAAATGCATCGAGGTTTATGGAAGGCATTTCGCACATTAGTGAGTTATTTTTGCCAAAAATTTAAGTTATTCTAAGTGTTTTGGTTTATTTTGTTTTATTATCATTGTTGATGTTTCATTGATCCGTTGGCTTTTCAACACGCCTCAAAAGTAGTTTTGAAGCAGTTCTAAGCTTGGATAAAGTGTGAAGGAAGGTTCTAGATAATAAAATTTTTGTTCTCTCTTATTTGTTTCCTAAGGTAACTTGATCCGATTAAGATATACGAATTTTTAACATTTTCTTTTATAATTCGAGAATGGATGGAGATATCGAGATGCGGTTTTCACTAATATTTAGCAAATTTTATGGTGATTAACGGTCTGTGAAGTAAATAGTACCGTTCCATTTAACTTTTTTTCAAAAATCACAAAAATATGTAACCGCTGCAGATAACGCCCTCTAGCTTATTTGTTTTAAACCAAGCGGTCTTACTGAAAATATCTTTTAAAAGAGCATGAAATGCTCTTTCAAACAAGACCAAAAATATTCAAATCGGTTGAATGGTCCAGGAGATATTAAAATGTAAACATTTGAAAACGCATTGGCCTCCCCCTCCCTTATTATGACAGATATGAGAAATATCGCAAAACAAAAGCGATGCGGTATTATCCAAGCTACTAAATGATGTTGTCAACGTTATAGCATATCGTCTAACTTTCTGGGATAGCGGGAATTTTATGTTTCTCCATGGCAGTTACGCCCCCTAGCGGTCGAATTACGAACTTCAAAATAATTTCCAGCTATTTCTCTTAGTCACTTTACTTATAAGGATTTTTTTCCCAAACTTCTAGGCCTTACCGTTCTAGAGATACAGCCGCTCCGTACGCTTAACGGGACACCCTGTACAGGTTGTACACAAAGTTTTTGTGTTCCAAGTTTGCCGTCTGTTAAAATTGTAAAAGTTTACACTTTTTCCACTATTCTTTTAATGTTTTTGTACTGTAAAACATTATAACAATGGTGGAAAACCTATTGGCTTTCATAATTTGGACATAAAACGAATTTGGATGTGTAGAACTTCCATAATGACATTCGTATTTTAACATTTATTGCTATAAGCTTAAGAAATTAAGCTTAAAATTATGTAAATGTACAGGGCTGAATAATGAATTATTATATACCAGACGAACTACAATATTCATAGCACAATACTGGCAGTCCAGTACTGGCAATAAATTACCAGTACTGGACCATGTAATTATTTTTTACTGTGATATTTTGACTATTTTGGAAAATATGCCTCAAGAAAGCTCTGTAGAACCTCATTAGAATGTAATCCATTGAATTCCTAGTTCAGTACATTAGTATTCGAGAAGTTTACCCTTAGATTGACCCAAACCCGATAAATTTCCATAAAAAAATCACTCAGTAGTCAATAGCCATTTTCTAATAAGAACTAGTAAATAATCCATTAAATTTAATGAATTACATCCTATATTTAATGTTAATGTATTCTATCCAGGTAACAATATACGAGAATGACACGGTCGTTCTCGAAGCATCTATCCTCGTTCTATTAATAAACACTTTGAGGGTTCAAAGTTGCCTCGACCATAACCACCACCGGATCTGCATTTAAATTGGGCGATAACCGGCCGGAATTAAACGCATTAGTTTAGATGAGAATCGATAGGGCAATCCGTTTTCTCCGCCCTTCCAACGTGTCTGTGGGGTTCCTTGTTTCTTCGCCCGCAAACCAAAAAGGGATTGGACGTTATTCATTCCCTCGTCGACAACAAATTCGGAAGTCTATGCGTTGCGATAAAATTAAAGCCCTAACGAACTGAAATCCCGCAGGGAACAATCTCGTTCCATCCAATTATTATTATACAGGAGTGTTTCGGAATTACTGGATGTGGAGAATTTTATTTTATTTTAAAACTTTATTACCAAGCCGTACATGTGATCAACAACATGATTAATTATGGATATAGCGTTATCTAGTTATTGATAGATTTCGAAATTGACGTGATACAATCTCAATAGATTAGATAGGGATTATGGGATTGTTCATACATAACATAGTTCATTAATCAAAACTATATCACAAAAAGGTCTTAAAGCACGTAAATCATAACTTATTAAACATTTTCCATACCGAGTGCGGTTGGGAAACTTTTTGAAAAATATGAATAATTAATTCCCTTAGGAGTGGCTAAATTTAGTTTGGTGGGAATTTTCATTCGTTTCGCTTTATAATATAGGTCTGGTTTCTAGTGAGATCGCATTAAAAACTTTCCGGCGCATCCAAATAGTGTCTCACGATCGGATTTTGGCATTCAGACAGTTAAATACGATTTTATTTCTATTCACGCCATCGTAAAATTTGCATGATTGCAATGCCGTCGGTTACGATGCCTAGAGAGAAGTGTTTCGTTCTTTGCTGCTTTCGATGCAAAATGTTGCACTTTACATAAAAGTATCTTCGGGACAGAACTAAAAAGAAATGAATACAAGAATAAATAAAAATGTAAAAGAACAAAAAGTTTTCAATATTTAATCGATATCTTGAAAATTTAAGAAATTAAGCATGAAGGCTTTTCTGGTCGGAGTTAATTGAACTAAAATTAGAACTAATTCTAGCACTATCAGTAGAATTAACAATAAACCTAGAACTATTAGTAGAAACATGTTGGCTAAACCCGAATGATTCTAATTTTCGGTTTTGTATTAATTGTTACTACACTGGACCCAACTCACCTTTTTATTGAGCTAATAAATGTTGCTGATAGTAATAAAAAAAAATAATAAAAAATTATCTCCACAATTTCAAATTTTAAATCGTTTCAGCACCATCTCTTATAATTCTTAGTAATCATTCCCTTTAATATGCAATTAATTCAAATCAATACTATAATAAGTTAAATCTAATTTCAATAATGCCTCCTCTATAAAGTAGATACAAACATTTTAGTAATTAACTTAAAAAGAAATTAAAATAATAATCTAATCTGAAAATCAACAAAAGCCGATAATATAGAACTCTATTATATTATAACTGTCAAAAAAAGATGTAAACACAAGAGCACCTGTCAAATGTGCGGTGTTGAATATTGTTGAATTTAAATAAAATAATAATGATCATGTGATAATTAAATTGTTTAATCACCACTTAACAATGGCAACTCAAGAAAAACTTTTGAAATCCTTGGAAGGTCTTCAACAATTAATAAATATAAAAGGAGATAATATTTCCAGGTAAAACTTATTGTTGCTTATATTTTAGTTGTTATCCCATTTATTTTTTGATTGTTTAGTCGTAAAAAGGAAAAAGTACAACATTGTCACTTCATAACCGAAGCAATAACCAACTCGGCGATTAAAATAGCCCCAAATTTTAGCCAGCTGTTGAGTTTTACGTTTGAGACGTTACTTGAACTTTGTAATGATGCGGAAGCGGATATTCGTACGATAGCGGATGAATCGTTAAATAAAATAATAAGGGTATTAAATGTTGATAATATTGGAAAAATACAATTGGAATTACATAAAGAAATAAAGAAAAACGCGGCAGCCAGGTCTTTAAAAGCTGCTTTATGGAGATTTGGAAACCTTGCTCATATGATAAGAGTTTATAAAGGAAAACCTTATGTTGTTAATTTAATTCCTTGCATTGTTAAAATTTCGGAACGAGAGGAAGAATTTTTACATGACACATTAACAGAATCACTTCCGAAAATTTTAAAAATTCTTGGTTGTTTTACAAACGATGGTGATGTTAAAACTTTAATGAAGGCGTTTTTAAAAAATATTTGTCAGCCTTCTCCTGGTATTCGAAGGAATTCTGCTAAATGTATATTAATTTTATGTCTAAACTGTAGAAGGCCGTATTACTTTATGGTTTATGCATTAAATCAGTTATTAGATTTGTTGTTACCAGTGGATAATGAGTGTAATAGTTTTACAATTTTGGGTGTTTTGGGTGGGGTTAAAGTTATACTACCTAATTTAAATAAAAAGGAAGATTATCAAGAAATGGTTAATAGTTTTGGAGCTAAAAAGGATTTACAAGAAATTGTTGTTTCTTTAGATAGACAGATACAAGTAAATATATTTTTATTAATAAAATGATCTATTTAAAGATTTAATTTTTAGATTTATGAACTTTGCCTGCATTATTTATCTTATAATGATCATAACATTATTAATATGGCTTTAGAAACATTAAATATTTTATTACAAAATTGTCAAAAAGAACTTAAAGAAGTTTTATTATCAAAATCTGGTATAACTCAAAGCAAAATTAAACATATTGATCCAGATTTAAATAAAGGATCACCTTGTAAGTGATGATTTTACTTACAATACAAATTTTATTTAAATTTTTAAATAATTTTCAGATGAGATGAGTATAGCTTCTTCAAGAAGTTCAGAGGAGAAGCTGTTAGACTCGTTATCTGACCCATTAACGAGTGACATTGAGAAATGGATTGATCAGTCGACTTTATCAATTATCAATGTTAATTATACCTCGTTAACGAAAAATTTGCAAGATGAATCAAAATTGTCTTTAAATTTTGATAATGTTGATACTGGCGAGGTGGATTTTGGTGAAATATCAAAAAGCAATTCGGATTTGGAAGAAATTGCAAAAACTGATGGCAGTTTTGATAATATTAATGCTTCTGAAGTTGAAATTGGATCGCAGTATAGTTATTTAGCAGAGGATACTGTTTCAATAATTACTCTAACAGATGTTACTCAGGTAAAAAAAATATATACCTAGTGTATCAGGTATAGTAGAAAAAATTTGAGGGGTTATAGGTCCTCTTTTTGTGATTAAAAAATTCTTATAACACAATGTCCCATTCTTTATAATTCTTAAGATATGATACAATAAAGTTAAGGGTTTGAAAGTTTAAGTACTGCTGTATAAAGAATTATACTAAGCAGGCTTTGCTTATGTATATAGCTTTAATTTGACACATAAACGTCATTTTTTTATCAAAAAAAAAAATTATCACTTCTGTTTTATTATTCTTTAATGTAAAAATTTACAAAAATTTAGGTTTAAATAAATAAACTTGCTTATTGTATTAAAAAGAACAAAATTACAAAACTAGAAACAAATTGCAAAGCAAAGCCTGCTTAGTATAATTCATTAACCAGTAGTACTCAAACTTGTGAACCCTTAACTTTATCATATCATATCTTAAGAAGGACAAAGAATAGGACATTGTGTTATAAGAATTTTTTATTCAGAAAGATGAGACCTATAACTCCTCAAATTTTTTCTACTCATACCTACTGTGAAGTCTATGTGTTATATCTTGCACTTGATTGTACCATTATGTGTTGTCTCATATTGTTTTAATATACAGGTGTAACTGGTTCCTTACAACTTTTTCAAGTTCCACTATTCATAGAGATTTGAAATTTAGGTAGCATGGGTTGTTCATTCGGAACTTTCGATCTAAAATATTTTCAAGATGGCTTCCACTTCTGGTCTACCGGAAGTAGACCATAACTTCGTTATTTTAAATAGAATGCTATAGTTTTTATTACACCATGTAATTGTACGTAAAAAATTGGTTGATTTTGATAAAAGTTGTTGGTACCTACCGTTTTTCGTTTTCAAGTTATTTTGGTTTTAAGCTTTTTTTGGTAAATTTCAACATGCTCTTTAAAACCGAATATATCAGCCAATATTCATTCAAAAAAACCCTAAATTGGCACGATTGCTCCATACTACAGAGTATCTTATACAGGGTGGTCAAAAATTGAATTACTGTTTCTCCATATTCAATGGCGAGAAAGGCGAAAATTTTAAATGGAACGCCCCATATTTTTTTAGCCTATTAGAAAGGAAATTTAATTCTCTACAAATTATCTATAAACATTCCTATACCTATTCATTGTAGTTTGCCTCATATTGGGAAATTTCTTAAAACATGCACTAAATGCAAGTTTTTTTATTAAAAAGCTATGGAATTTTTACAGTTTTTGGTCCATGTTTGTATTATTGTTGTCATTAGTTACATTTAACAACGGGTGTAAGTTATTGAATATCATGATGGCGAATTTAATATACTTTTGGACATAATATGTTGAACACTTAATGAGAGATCAAAAAATTGATAAATTGACATTCTGGAGATATCCGCTTCCTACTTCTAGAATGATTATAATTAGGTTTAGACTGTTTATGAATTATGGTTTTTGAGTTAATTACGAACCATTTTCATTCATAATGTTCTTTTCTATCAATTTTTATTCTTTACTTATGACGAATATTCCAGAAGAAAATTTTTAATTTTGACATTTTGGAGATTACCGCTTCCTCCTTCTAGAATGATTATGGTTAGGTTTAGACTGTTTATGGATTATGGCTTGTAAGTTCATTATGAACCATTTTCGTTCATAATGTTTCTCTCTATCAATTTTATTTCTTGACTTAGGACGAATATTCCAAAAGAATACCTTTAATTTTGACATTTTGGAAACTTCCGCTTCCTCCTTCTAAAATGATTATGGTTAGGTTTTGACTGTTTATGAATTATGATTTTTGAGTTAATTACGAACCATTTTCATTCATAATGTTCTTTTCTATCAATTTTTATTCTTCACTTATGACGAATATTCCAGAAGAAAATTTTTAATTTTGACATTTTGGAGATTACCGCTTCCTCCTTCTAGAATGATTATGGTTAGGTCTAGACTGTTTATGGATTATGGCTTGTAAGTTCATTATGAACCATTTTCGTTCATAATGTTTCTCTCTATCAATTTTATTTCTTGACTTAGGACGAATATTCCAAAAGAATACCTTTAATTTTGACATTTTGGAAACTTCCGCTTCCTCCTTCTAGAATGATTATGGTTAGGTTTAGACCGTTTATGGATTACGGCTTGTAAGTTCATTATGAACCATTTTCGTTCATAACGTTTCTTTCTATCAATTTTATTTCTTGACTTAGGACGAAGATTCCAGAAGAAAATTTTTAATTTTGACATTTTGATGATTACCGCTTCCTCCTTCTAGAATGATTATGGTTAGGTCTAGACTGTTTATGGATTATGTCTTGTAAGTTCATTACGAACCATTTTCGTTCATAATGTTTCTCTCTATCAACTTTATTTCTTGACTTATGACGAATATTCCTGAAGAAAACCATTAATTTTGACATTTTGGGGATTTCCGCTTCCTCCTTCTAGAATGATTATGGTTAGGTCTAGACTGTTTATGGATTATGGCTTGTAAGTTCATTATGAACCATTTTCGTTCATAATGTTTCTCTCTATCAATTTTATTTCTTGACTTATGACGAATATTCCAGAAGACAACCATTAATTTTGACATTTTGGAGATTTCCGCTTCCTCCTTCTAGAATGATTATGGTTAGGTTTAGACCGTTTATGGATTACGGCTTGTAAGTTCATTACGAACCATTTTCGTTCATAATGTTTCTCTCTATCAATTTTATTTCTTGACTTATGACGAATATTCCAGAAGACAACCATTAATTTTGACATTTTGGAGATTTCCGCTTCCTCCTTCTAGAATGATTGTGGTTAGGTCTAGACTGTTTATGGATTATGGCTTGTAAGTTCATTACGAACCATTTTCGTTCAATTTTAATTCTTGACTTATGACGAATATTCCTGAAGAAAATCTTTAATTTTTGAGATTTTGGAGATTTCCGCTTCCTCCTTCTAGAATGATTATGGTTATGTTTAGATTGTTTATGGATTATGGTTTGTGAGTTCATTACGAACCCTTTTCGTTCATAATGTTTTTCTCTATCAATTTTTATTCTTGACTTATGACGAATATGCCAGAAGAAAATCTTTAATTTTGGCATTTTTTCAAAATTTTCTTAGTTCTGGACATATCGAGACCAAAAGAAACCACATATTTCCGGTCACCAGTGATGAAGACAACGAAATAATCATTAATTAAATATCATTCCATTTAAAATAACGATGTTATGGTCTACTTCCGGTAGACCGAAAGTGGCAGCCATCTTGAAAATATTTTAGAATTTCAAAACTGCACGAATAGTGGAACCTAAAAAAGTACTAACGAATCCTGTATTAATTAGATTTGTTTTTTAGGATATTGACATTGGATCATTCAAAGATATAAATGTGCCATTAATTTACTGTAGCCGTTTAATAGTAAAATCGTTTTTATTAACCGGTCAACCAAAAGGATTAATCCCCGATCGAAACGTACGAGTTTCCGTAAAAAATTTAGCATTAACTTGTTTAGGATCGATCATTCAATTATACCCCGATATACTCCTATTAAATCTCGACGTAAATTACACGAAAAACACGCTTGAACCTAAACAGTTCATCTCCGACATTTTATTATTTGAAAATGATCCAGATCCGCAGTTAGCTGGAATAACCAGGATTGTGGTCGGTTTATTTTTACAAGCCGTTTTAAAACTAAGCTATGGTAAATACGAAGAATGGTTGAATTCGAAGAATTGCGATAATGACCGATTTAAAATTGAGAATTTAGTACAAATTTTAATAAGGGTAAATTATATTTTTATTTATAGAGATTACTTATTAATTCTAGTTTTAATTTAAATTCTAATTTTTAATTGATTTTTTTAGGGTTTTGAACATAATTCATCGATTTGTGTCCGCCAAAGTTTATCATCTTTAAATCATTGTATGAAAGAAATGTTGTATTCTGATAAATGTGAGTGTGTTTTGCCAATTTTAAAGGTTTTGCCATTATTAGCAAAAGACCCTTATTGGTTGGTAAAGGTGAATAATCTCATTACATCAAAATAAAATTCGAACCATTTAAATCATTAATTTTAGATTAAATTGGTTGAAATTGTAACTCATTTTGAATACATTACAATTGAATATGTAACTGGTGATCCAGAATTCCAAAATAAAATTGTTTACAACGTTCTTTTGGAATTGTTAAAAGATGAGGATCAAAGAGTTAGAAATGCTACGTCAAATTCAATCGTAAAGTAAACTTATTCTTATCAATATGATGAAGTTGTACAAAATTAATTTATTTTTTTTATCTTTGAAGGATTATGCCTATGTTGTACTTCCAACAGCAAACTCCAAATCAAAATGTAATAATAAATAAAGCCATCGAATACAAAAATAAGTATTTAAAAAATATAAGCAATTTAAATGCGGGGATAAACGTTTTTAAAAACTCATTTTTAAGCACTGCTCCTTTTCCTTTTAACGTTTCAAGTGATTCAGAGATTGAAGGGATTGAATTTGGGTTATCTAGAATAATATTAAAGTTACACGAGACTTTATTGACTTCGACGTCAAAACAACATATCGTAAGTATTATCATAAGTAGGGCACGGAACTTTTGTAACAAAACGATACGATTTCCCCCCTCCACTCGTTCTCAGCAGAAAATTTCATACAAAAGTTGTTCTAAATTAAATTCTAAAACGATTTTCTCAATAAAAAATATATATAAATATATATATACAAATTTTTTTGAGATTATGTTCTTAATTATTGATCAAATCAAAAATTTTTATTAACAATATTTGTTTAGAATTACTTCAGGAACAGTGTTTGTTAATACAATTTTTTGCTAACTTGAAATTTTAATTTCCCTCTGAATAGTATGCTATCAAAATTAATTATCTCAATAATTATTGTTTTTATCAAAAAATGTTTTAAATAAAATTTGTTTCAATTTCGATTTTGAATCAATTATCTTAATAAAAAATTTTTACATCTCTATTAATTAAGCATCTAAGTATAATTATGTATAAAAACGGAAAAATTATTATTTTGAGGTTATCTCCTTAATTATTGATTAAATCAAAAAAAATTGTTGACAAAGTTTGTTTAGAATTGTTTCAGGAACAATTTTTGTTAACACAATTTTTTTCTAACTTGAAATTTTAATTTCCCACTGAACAGTATGCTACAAAAATTAATATTTTTGAGGTTATATCCTTATTGTTGATTTAATCAAAAAATGTTGTTAACAAAATTTGTTTAGAATTACTTCAGGAACAGTGTTTGTTAATACAATTTTTTGCTAACTTGAAATTTTAATTTCCCTCTGAATAGTATGCTATCAAAATTAATTATCTCAATAATTATTGTTTTTATCAAAAAATGTTTTAAATAAAATTTGTTTCAATTTCGATTTTGAATCAATTATCTTAATAAAAAATTTTTACATCTCTATTAATTAAGCATCTAAGTATAATTATGTATAAAAACGGAAAAATTATTATTTTGAGGTTATCTCCTTAATTATTGATTAAATCAAAAAAAATTGTTGACAAAGTTTGTTTAGAATTGTTTCAGGAACAATTTTTGTTAACACAATTTTTTTCTAACTTGAAATTTTAATTTCCCACTGAATAGTATGCTACAAAAATTAATATTTTTGAGGTTATATCCTTATTGTTGATTTAATCAAAAAATGTTGTTAACAAAATTTGTTTAGAATTACTTCAGGAACAGTGTTTGTTAATACAATTTTTTGCTAACTTGAAATTTTAATTTCCCTCTGAATAGTATGCTATCAAAATTAATTATCTCAATAATTATTGTTTTTATCAAAAAATGTTTTAAATAAAATTTGTTTCAATTTCGATTTTGAATCAATTATCTTAATAAAAAATTTTTACATCTCTATTAATTAAGCATCTAAGTATAATTATGTATAAAAACGGAAAAATTATTATTTTGAGGTTATCTCCTTAATTATTGATTAAATCAAAAAAAATTGTTGACAAAGTTTGTTTAGAATTGTTTCAGGAACAATTTTTGTTAACACAATTTTTTTCTAACTTGAAATTTTAATTTCCCACTGAACAGTATGCTACAAAAATTAATATTTTTGAGGTTATATTCTTATTGTTGATTTAATCAAAAAATGTTGTTAACAAAATTGGTTTAGAATTACTTCAGGGACAGTGTTTGTTAATACAATTTTTTGCTAACTTGAAATTTTAATTTCCCATTGAACAGTATGCTACAAAAATTAATATTTTTGAGGTTATATTCTTATTGTTGATTTAATCAAAAAATGTTGTTAACAAAGTTTGTTTAGAATTGTTTCAGGAACAATTTTTGGTAACACAATTTTTTTCTTACTTGAAATTTTAATTTCCCGTTGAACAGTATGGTATTCTTTTAATCAAGATTTTCTGAGAACGAGTGGAGGGGAGAAATCGTTTTGTTACAAAAGTTCCGTGCCCTGATCATAAGTAAGTGATCAAAGTCAATGTTATTTTATTTTAGTATGGTTGTATAGAAACTTTGTGCTTATTAAGTCAAACTTATTCTTGTACAGTTTATAAATCGTCATGGAATTGCTTTAAAAATTTTAATTTCCAACAAGAAAAAACAATTTTTCAAAGGAGTAATTCGATAATTGGAAATATTTCATCGATTTGTGAATCGAACGTTAGTTGTGCAAAAGATTTATTAAACATATCTATTTCTTTGTTTTCACATATAACGGTTTATGACTTAAATTTTCATTCGAATCTTCTAAAATTTACAGGAAATCTTTTCGCTGGTAAAAAAGGTTAAATTAAATTAATCCAAATTAATTATTAATTTTATTTTACGCTAGGAAAATGTTTACAAGATTTACAATTATCATCAGATACCTTAGAAAATAATCGACCTCTTTGGGATATGTTTAACGATAAAATTCTTCGTGAATTAAGCGAAACATTTTTAACACACATAATAAAATTATTAAATGTTTTTATGCATGTTATCGAAGAAATAACCCCGCAAATAATCGTTCCCAAACCGGTTTTACCAAATTTACCACCCGCCAGTACTTTATCGCCGTTAAAACGACGTAAAAGCGATTTAGACAAGAAATTATTAACAAGCGTTAAAACTGACAAAGATGAAAAAATTGAAAAGAAGCCGGAAAATGTTAAAAACATTTCGATGGGTTATTTTGCGAATTTACCTCATTACATGAAGATTTATGACATTCTTCGAATGGCTTATTTAAATTATAAGATAACGTTAGATTCTTCAGCCTCAGAAAATTTATTAAATTTTTTAAAAACAACTTTATCCGCTTTATGTCAAATTTTAGAGGTTGCTACTATTACGGAAACTGGAAGAATAGCGGATGATATCTTAAGATATCTTCGAGCTTCTTTTTATTTAGACCAAGCGTCTACCGTAAGTTGTGTTCATCAGTTATTGAAAAGTCTTTTTGGAAATAATCTTACGAGTGGAATGAATTGTGTTAATTTGGAAAATCGAAAAGAACAGGTAAGATTTTTTGTTCACAATTATATCTTAAAAAAGATATTCTAATATTATTCTAGAAACCACACAATGAGGATGGGTTTTATTACAATTTATTTCAACGTCCTTACACAGAATTAACGAATTATATTGACTGTTTAAATAGCATGGATAAGGTTGAATGCGATAGTGATAATACTGTAATGGGTTATTTACATAGAAAAGAAATTAAGAAACCTGTGCCAAAAGGTTCTGATAAAATCTTAGCAAATTATATTCGTATTTTTGAACCTATGGTCATCAAGTCTTTAAAGGTATTTACATAAAATAACATTTTTGCATAACATTCGGATTTAGCCGCCTAAAGGGATGTGTGGCTAAACCTGACTGTTTAAAACACTAATACTAGAACTAGAATCATTCGAGTTTAGCCGTCTCAAGACGTGTGGCTAAACCGACGTGCGTCTCTTAAGGGGGTATGCCACCTTTGAAATAAAAAAAAAATCGATTTTTTTTTGCATAAAAGTGTTTTTTATACTGTCTAGAATGAGAATCCATTGACAGAAAACATTTGCGGAATGTTTTTCTACCTAAAAAATTGATTTTTGAATAACCACTTTTTGTATCATTTTTTATCCATTGTATATGCAGGTATTTTGGCCTTGTTGTACAAAAAAGTTAAAAAAAACATAAAATATCATTTTTCAAAAACGCTATTGAAGGAAAAATTGGAAGTGCACTCCATCGTAGAGATGTTTCAACGATCCATAATTTGAAGTACTGTTTTTACGTAGGAGACGGAGACAGCAAAACATTCAAAGGTATTATGGACGCTCAGCCCTATGGTCATAGTAATAGTAACCAAAAAAGAATGCGTCGATCACGTTCAGAAACGAATGGGCACACGGTTACGAAATCTAAAAAGAAACACCTGCGGATTAGGAGGCAAAGGAAAATTAATTGATAAACTTTCCTTATATTATGGATTGGCTATTCGTAGAAATTGCGATTCCGTGAAGGACATACTTTGTATCATAAAATTTCAACAGATGAAACTCCAAAGCATGACAATTGTCCAGTTGGTGCTGACTCGTGGTGTTCCTGGCAAAAAGCGTACGCTTTGTCAGAAATCAATGAGTACCCTCACAAGCCAGCAATCAGCAATGATGTTTTCAACGCAGTGAAACCTGTGTACGAAGAACTATCAAGGGAAGATCTTTTGACAAGATGTTTATAGGGATATACGCAAAACAGCAATGAAAATTACAAATATATATTGGTATAATAATATATATATAATATTGGCAAGAAAGTGGTTGACATTGCGTCTGATATAGCTGCTTGCAATTTTAATGACGGTCTTACAAGCATTATGGAAATAATGCAAGCACTGAAATTAACAACCGGAAGATGCATTACTCGCATTACTCGCGCTGAGCGCTTCATGACTGCTGAGGCTAAAGAAGCTCGTAGAAGCCTACTGTCAGACAGAAAAGCTGCAGAAGATGAAAATAAGCTTCAGGAAGGACAGCTGTATGGTGCAGGAAGGATGCTAAGGAATCGTTGGAGCTCTCACTGAGTACACACTTTCCTTCCTCAAAAGTCTGCCCCCATGCAGCTGCCGACCCTGAAGTAATGGACATAACCCGTCCATCACGTAGGGTTCGCAGCACAGCTGGGAATATTTTCACACCCAACAGAGTAAAGTGGGCTATCTCGAATTTCAAGCCCCTAAAATCGCCTGGAGGAGACGGAATTCTGCCTATCTTTCTGCAAAAAGGCTTAGAAGACTTTCTCCCAATAATAATATCCCTATATATAGCTAGCTACAGCTTTAGCTATATACCCACTCTATGGAGGAAAGTAAAGGTGGTCTTCATACCTAAAGGTGGTAGGCGTTCAAACGCGGACCCCAAGGCGTACAGACCAATTAGCCTAACTTCATTTCTCCTCAAAGGGATGGAAAAGGTAATCGATCAATACCTAAGGAATGGAGTGCTTCTCACAAATCCACTCCACCCTAGCCAACATGCTTACCAGAAAGCAAAATCAACAATTACCGCTCTCCATGCTTTGACTAGCACCTTAGAGGAGGCAATTGCAACCAAAGAGATAGCCCTTTGTGCTTTCATAGATATAGAGGGTGCGTTTGATAACACCTCATATGAATCCATAGAGAAGGCTTTAAACGTAAAAGACATACATCCGTCGACAATCAAGTGGTGTATAGCCATGTTGAAAAGTCGGCAGATCACAGCCAGTCTGGGAGGCGAGTCGCTGACTATAAAGGCGCTAAGAGGATGTCCCCAAGGGGGAGTGCTATCACCTCTATTATGGTGCCTGGTAGTTGATGACTTGATGAACACCCTAACTAAAAACGGATTTAAGATACAAGGGTATGCTGATGACCTGGTAATCACAATCCGAGGTAAATATGATTCAATCATAACTCAGCTAATGCAGAAAGCCCTACTACTCACCAGTACTTGGTGCAGAAGCAATGGGCTCAGCATCAATCCCAATAAAATCGAAATAGTCCCTTTCACTCGGAGAAGGAAGCTACAAATAAAAGCACCCTCCATTGAAAGCAGAACTATTAACCTCAAAACAGAAACTAAATACCTAGGGGTAATACTTGATAGTAAACTAAACTGGAACTCACACTTAGACAAGGTGAGGAAAAAGGCCATCATGGCAAACCAGATCTGCCGCAGGCTCCTAGGAAGGAACTGGGGTCTCAAACCACGAATGGCTCATTGGGCCTACGTAGCAATAATCAGACCCATGGTCGCCTACGCCTCATTGGTTTGGTGGCCAAAAACAAAACATAAGACAGCTCAACAACAGCTGGCACAAATCCAGCGGTTAGCATGTCTTAACATAACGGGTGCAATGAGATCCTGTCCGACGGCTGCTTTGGAAGCCCTACTTGGTCTCACACCGCTCCACATATATATACAAAAGGAGGCAGCCTTAAGTGCCTTATCACTGAAAACAGTTTCTTCACTCAAGTTGATGCAGGGTAATCTCAGAGGACACCTCGAGATCCTCAAAGACCCATGTCTAAATCACCTGATTGAAATTAAAACGGACCTTATACCGACGGAATACAATTTCAACCAACCGTATAAGGTCATATTTAGTAGCAGGGATGATTGGGCGAAAGGAGGGCCTCAACTAAAAAGAGGAGCCCTAGCCTGGTACACCGATGCTTCAAAGACAGTAAGATCTGGAGTAGGCATGGGCATCAGTGGACCAAATAGCCACATCAAATTTCCCCTCAGCTCGGACTTAACAATTTTCCAAGCAGAAGTTCATGCTATAAACTTCTGCACCGCTTTGAACCTACAGAAGAGACAAAAAGGTGCATCCATAAACATTTTCACAGACAGTCGGGCCTACACGTGTGGCTCCGCACTGATCAGAGAGTGTACCAACAACCTGAGAGAACTTGCTAGGGGTAATGATGTTACCCTATGGTGGGTTCCAGGTCACAGCAACATTGAGGGCAATGAGAAGGCCGACAAGCTGGCCAAAGAGGTAGCAAACACGCCCTTCATTGGATCCCAACCTGGATGTGGACTACAAAAAAGCCACCGAAAACAAATAATCAACAACTGGGAGGCTTCAAAGATAGCCTTACGCTGGAAAGAACTTCCAGGTCACAGACAAGCGAAGAGTATGATAACTCCGTCGCAAAACAAAACCANCCCTCAGTAGGTGCTCCAACGACTCCCACTCCCCCCCACATAGCCTACAACCCCTCTCATCATCTCTCATCCAATACCTATTCGCTCTCTCCTCATTGCCGCATCTGAATCTTGCCACCATCCTCTTCCCCTCCTCATCCCCCTCCACCGACAGGTACTTCGGCAATCCCTCCGTTATTATTTCCTCGTACTTAGGGTTGTACCTGCTCTCCCTTATCTGCCCCCTTCTTTCTTGCCTCTGTACATCTCTATCCCTGCTCTCCAGCTCTTTCCACATCTCAATCCCTTCCCTCCTTCTATCATCTACCGCTTTCACTGAGTACCCCACCCTTCTGAAATATTCCTCCCTCCCTCGTTGCCCGTAACCCCCTTTCCCTGCCTTAATCTCTTTCCAGCACTCCCCCAAAATTTTACATTGAGACCTCCCTTCAACCCTCTCCTCAAAACGTACCGCCCTTTTACCCGCCTCCACTCTTAACTTATCAACCTTCACCTCTTCTCTGACTATGTACTCCGGCGTCTCTTTTGCCAACCCCAAAACCCATCTCCAGTACCTAGCCTGTACGCCTTCCAACAGCCCTTGCTCTTTCGGCCATGTGCCCCTAAAATACCACCTCTTCCACATTGGACAAGCTGAGGATCAAACTTGTCGACTATGTAACGAGTCAGAAACTGCTGAACATATACTGTGCAATTGCGTCGCCAGAGGCCGTCTAAGACACAACGTCTTCGGTAAAACTCCCCTATTACCTACCGACATAAAGGTTCAAGACCTCAGGACAATACTAAGGTTCATTAAGGACCTACATTTGCCCTAAACCTTTGGAGGGCTAAAGTTACAATAGATCTTATAGGTCGCGGTAACGAGAGGGGCCATCGTCACCATTTCGTCAAAAATGAATATTTTTACTAAAGTAGTCGTATTCAAGTTTTAATTATTCGACTTACGCGTTAGGAGAAATCCTGCGCACAGTATGACCCTGCACGATTTGCAAGCCTAACATTACCGACATCTAGCGAGTGCAATTTTAATAACTGTTAATAAATAAAATATGTATTTAAAACTAGAAAAGGGGCTTATTCACACCCTGCAACCCGTTTTTAGAAACCTTCTTTCGTCTGATTGCAAAAATACCTATTATTTACCTATTAAGGTGGCATACCCCCTTAAGATGGCTAAACCTGAATGTTTCTACTTCTAATAGACTGCCTAAGTCTGACGTCACAGAGTTGGGCGGAGCTTATATCGACTCCAAACAATTTCGTTGCTAACCGCAGTTGCCAACGTTGTCATTGGAAATGTCATTTAAAAAGTCACTTAGTTTATTTTATTTTAACACTAATTGAAAAACTGCATATTTAGTTAGCAACGAAAATGTTTGGAGTCAGTATAAGCTCCGCCCATCTCTGTGACGTCAAGACTTAGGTTGTCTATTGTAAGTCTAATGTTAGTTCTAGAGAAAGAATATTGCATATTTTTATTGCACAAAAACTAGAACTAGACCTAGAACTAGAATCAATCCTATGCTAATCTCGTTTGGGGCTAATTATTATTAATTAAAAATGATGTAATTTTTGTTCGTTATAGCAATACACAATTTCAAGCGACGTTGTCCTTCAATGTAACGTTCTTCAGCTTTTAAGTCAACTGGTTCAACTTCGAGTAAACTACTGTCTTCTCGATTCCGAACAAATTTTTATCGGATTCGTTCTAAAACAATTCGAATTTATCGAAGAAGCTCAAATACCGGAACCTGAAAAATTAATCCCAAAAATTTTTAAATTCCTCGTTCATTTATCGTACAGTAAACACCATTCAAAAAGTATAATAAACGTACCGAAAATAATCCAATTATGCGACGGTTTAATGGCAAGCGGACAAAAGCCGACTACTTATTGTATACCGGCTTTAGAACCGATCGTTGAAGACATATTTTTGGTAAGAAATAAATCGAATACGGCGGATTTTAAAGAATTAGAAACAACAAGGGAGGTTTTATTATCGATGTTATTGAGATTAATCGAGTATAAGGAAGTTATAGTTTTGTTGACGTTGATTTTAAACGATAGTAAATATTGCGAAAACAGCGATAAATGGCATAGATGGTCAAAACAAGTTTTCGACGTATTTTTAACGATGTTAAAACATAATAAAATAAGATTGAACGATGGAAAAACAATTGAAGCTATTATGAAATTATTGCTTGTTATGAATCCGGGCGTTTTTAAAAATATTAATGACATTTTAGTTTGTTTATATCAAAAATGTCCATTAAACGGCGATGCAATTAGTAAATACCTAGGAAAAAATTTAATTATTTTATTAATTTTAACTCATATAAAAGAAGACGTTTTACTTAGTAAAATAAGCGAAGCTTCAACAGATTTTGATCCAAGTAGTATTTTTGATCATATTGAAATAACTCCGGATCCTTTAAATGTAATCAATAACATTAATTATTTTCAAAGAATACAACCTGAGGTGGCTTTTGTAAAATTAATTTTTAAAATACTCCAAGTTACTTCAGTGAATTGTGTAGATGAATTTGATGAGTTTCTAGTTGAAGAACTGTTTTATTTTATGGTTATTGTTTCATATTTAATGCAGTCTGGTAAGATTTCTACTCCTTTTCTTTTCTGATTTTATAAAGAACTAAGTTTTATATTTACAGGTAATTATTCTAAGATATCAAATACAGCAATATCACTAATTAATACAATTACATCTGAAGATAAAATCCCAATAGACGTTATAAATACCAACTTTTTAAAAATCGGTGTTTTACACCCTACTTTATTGTTTCAATGGTGTTATCTTTTAACAGTATTAAATTATCATAATAATAATTTTTGGAATGTGTTGTTAAACAATGATTTAACATGTAAAAATACATCTTTGCATCAAGAAATTATTCGATTAGGAGTATCTATAACTTATTGTGAGTATTTGGTAAGTACAAGAATCTATATGATGGTAGAGCTTATTTTATGATGTTTTTATTTATAGACGGAAAATGTACATAGCGTAGAACAATTAAAATCATTTTTATACCACAACATTAACTTAATAATTGAATTATGTGATGAAATACCGGTTCATGAATTTATAGCAACTTTACACAGAGAATCAAATACTAGTCTATTAATATTAAAATCTATAGAAGATAAATCAAAAAGAAATCACAAGGTAAGGGTAATATTAATTATACAGTGCGTTTCAAAAGTAGCGGATAAATTCGATAAAATTATTATAAACAATTTATGAAAAAAATCGCTGAAACGGGTCTAAAGATTTAAATTTTTTGGTGTATATTTTAAATTTTTTCCGCCATTTTTAAATGTGTTATGAGTCATCGAAGTTTTTTTTAAATGGAACACCCCATTTTTTATATCGGAATTTGAAAGAGAATTTTTTTCTGAATTATGTACAATAAATATTAATATCGGTTAGATAAGAAAATTTTCGAGAAAAATTAATTTAAAGTTTCATTATTTCCCATTCATTTGATATAAAAATTTTTTATTATTTTTTATCAAAAAATAGTATAGTTCATTTTTTTTTCTATAATACCTGTCAAATTGTTGTAAAGTTGGCAAAATTAACAGGGAGTTGTGCATGGAGTTTTGTTTTATCATGTTTTGAAATACATATGTCACACTGACGTTTGAGCTTTCGTTATTCAAAAAGAAACGGTGCATAAAAAATGTTGTGGGGTGTTTATTTGCCATTTAGTTACTTAGAAAAGGTGTTTTGTTCTATTTAATTACTTTGTAGCACGTTTTTACAATAAACGGAAAATTACGAAAATTAACGGAAATTACTGAAAATGTTACTAAAAATCAGGAAAACAACATACATTTTATAAGGGTCCTAGATAATACCAACAGAAACCCTAAAAAATATACATTGACAAGTATTATAGAAAAAAGCGTAACCATGGCAACCAATTGTTTTGATTTAAAGTTTCCAAGTGTCAAAATTCGTTTGATGCAACAAGCTATTGCTACCTTTGGATGTATCTCAAGTGCAATAGTAATTATAATTAATTTAAACAAATAATTCAATTCAAATTGAATTTTGACACTTAGAAATGTCAAATCAAAACAATTGGTTGCCATGGTTACGCACGGCTACTATTATTTTTTTATATCAAATGAAACTTTAAATTAATTTTTCTCGAATATTTTCTNCACCCTATATAATCTGAACGCGTGAAGATAAATCCATGATATTTGCGGAGCACAAAGGTTTACTGTAGACGAGTTTATTCAGGGAGTTTCGAGTTGTTCCGTCGCGGCATTGTTGACTGAGCCGCTCTTCCAAGTGGAACATTCCGTCGCTATGGAGACCGAAGTGGATGGAAAATACCGGTCGTTTTTAGTGTGGTGTGAGGGACCACATTGTTATCGTACTCTGTGCGCAATGGATGGGCGATCGCGTTACTTAAGCGAGTTTGGGCGAGGAATGTGTGTGGGTATGCACATTGAGGGTGTATCGTTCTGTGAAATCGCGCGTCGTCTCGAGCGACGTTATCGGCAGTGCAACGGGCATGGCGAGAATGGTCTGAGGTAGGACGTAGGTACCTTCAGCCGCGACCGGGACGGCCCTGCGCGTCCCCATCACACGAGAATCGCGCTCTTGTGCTCAGCGCTTTAGCGTCGTGTGTGTCCTCCTCAAGGCAACTTGGAGCTGTTTGGCCACTGGCAGGGGAAGGCGCACTCACTACGCGAACNACTCGTTTATTCAGGGAGTTTCGAGTTGTTCCGTCGCGGCATTGTTGACTGAGCCGCCCTTCCAAGTGGAACATTCCGTCGCTATGGAGACCGAAGTGGATGGAAAATACCGGTCGTTTTTAGTGTGGTGTGAGGGACCACATTGTTATCTGTGCACATTGTGGTATGCACATTGAGGGTGTATCGTTCTGTGAAATCGCGCGTCGTCTCGAGCGGTCGTTATCGGCAGTGCAACGGGTATGGCGAGAATGGTCTGAGGTAGGACATCACACGAGAATCGCGCTCTTGTGCTCAGCGCTCAGTGCTCAGTGCTCAGCTCAGCGTCGTGTGTGTCCTCCTCAAGGCAACTTGGAGCTGTTTGGCCACTGGCAGGGGAAGGCGCACTACTCACTACGCGAACAGTACGGCGGCGTTTGGTAGATAGTAGACTGGCGCGCGCGTCGTGCGATACAGCACCGCAGCATACGTCACGAGTGGGTCGACGCTAGGCATTAGTAGGTTGCCGAGTAGAGGGACATTTTGTTTTCCGACGAATCAAGATTCGAATTGAGCACCGGTGATGCGCGAATTTTAGTTCGTCGGAGCAGTGATGATCGTCTACTCGAGCAGTGTGTGCAAGAACGCCCTATCCACCGACAACCGAACATTATGGTATCGGGTGCGATTACATATGGTGGACCTACACATCCGCTGCGTGTATAGCAGACCATGACGGGTCAACGATACGTAGATGAGGTGCTACGGTCCGTTGTGCTTCCCTACATTCGGCGGCTCCCAGGTCTGCTATACATGCACGACAACGTACGACAGCACATCGGGCGTGTTGTATAGACCTTTGTGGAAGAGCACGGCATACGAATGCTTCCATGGCTACCTCGGTTTCCGCATCTGAATCCGATAGAACATGTTTGGGACATGACTGGTCGGAGACTTCTACGTTATCCGGATTCCTCGGCTAACGTTGAGGAGCTATGGAGGCGAGTTGAGGTGGCATGGTTGGCCATCCCTCTCGCTACAATATAGCGACTTATAGACTCCATGCCACGTCGTGTAGCGATGGTACGCGAAGCTCACGGGGGATACTCTCGCTATTGATATTTCTCCTCCCAGCAGAGGTGTGCCGTTCTCCATGTGAGAGTAAGTTACACTACTATAGTACTACTTCCATACCAAATTTTGCCCCGCCTTCGAGAGAGGCGATGTTTTAGTGTATTTTGCAACAATCAGATTTTTGGGGACTGCCGTCGTTAACACAGGGCTAATTTGTTTAATATGGGGGTTAATAAAAGAGCCCTTAGGAAGTCAGGGCAAGTAAATCTGGCCGCGCTATTCGACAGAGGTGATGTTTTAGGGTAGGCACACACGGTCGATTTTTAGTCGGCCGATAGTTTAGTCGATGGACATAAATGTATTAAGTTTAATGTAGGTGCGCACACAACACAACTGCAGATCAACTCGATTTTTTAATCAAAAGGAGTCGATGTGCACTTATGATTAAAAAGTTGTGCAACTATCGTACAACTGCAATAATGCCACAGCTTCATATTAAAGCGCACACACAGTCGATAGTTTAGTTGAGATTTTTAGGAATTTAGGTTGCGCGCGCAACTTTAGTGAGAGTTGAAGTGTCTTCTCTAGTATAACATAAATCGATTACTACTTTAGTTTCTCTCAATTATTTTATGATAAGTGAATTTATATCAAAAATTAAGTTAAATTATTTTCTGTTTTACTACCGCAGTTAATTATATACTACACTGAATACAGTGTGTTACTTAATTATCGTACCCGACGTCATCATTGCAAGTATGCAACCAATATCACAGTACAATACGCATCATACGCAAATCGTGTATTGCAATACCAATATTGTGATAATGGTTGCATACTTTCAATGATGACGTCGGGTACGATAATTAATTACCACACTGTATATTAAAGTAATTCAATTACATTATTTTAAAATTTGAATTATTTCCCGATATTATTCAATATTCAATACAATATAAATACAAGTTGTTTCGAAATCGATATGTGTGTGCATACAACACGATTTATGAACAACTAAACAGTTTAGTCGGTTATAAATTGATGATGCATCGCGATTTCAAACCAATCCAACTAAACTGTTTCGTCGATGAATAATCGACCGTGTGTGCCTACCCTTAGTATATTTAGCAACAATCAGATTTTTGGGGACTGCCGTCGTTAACACAGGGCGATTTTTTTAATAGGGGGGTGAATAAAAGAGCCCTTAGGAAGTTAGAGCAAGTAAATCTGACCATGCTATTCGACAGAGGCGATGTTTTAGTATATTTAGCAACTATCGGATTTTTGGGGACTGCCATCGTTAACACAGGGCGAATTTTTTTAATATGGGGGTGAACAAAAGAGCCCTTAGGAAGTCAGAGCAAGTAAATCTGGCCAGGCTATTCGACAAGTGGGATGTTTTAGTATATTTAGCAACTATCAGATCTTTGGGGCTGCCGTCGTTAACACAGGGCTATAATATTTAATATGAAGGTAAGACAGCCTTTACGAAATCGGAGCAAGACAATTTATTTACGCTAATTTTTCAAATTTATTTATTGCTCTGTTTCAAATTGATCGACCTTTGGAATCAATATAACAGTCGAAATTTCTGTAGTTTTGTTGTTTACAAATTGGAGCGTGTAAAACCGACTTCACTGTATACCGGGTGATCTCGCCGAATGTTTGGCGTGCTGTTTTCACATCGGTTCAAATGAATGAGAAATAATAAAACTTTAAATCAATTTTTCTCGAAAATTTTCTTATATAACCGATATTAATATTTATTGCACATAATTCAGAAAAAAATTCTCTTTCAAATTCCGATATAAAAAATGGGGTGTTCCATTTAAAAAAAACTTTGATGACGTCATAACTCGTTTAAAAATGGTGGAAAAAATTTAAAATATACACCAAAAAATTGCAAAAAATTTAAATCTTTAGACCCGTTAAATCTTTTCATAAATTGTAGAATTTATCCGTTACTTTTGAAACGCACTGTATATTAATTCATTAAATTAATTTTTTTCTAGCCTTCTTATTTAACAAAAATCCTAAAATGTCTTGAAAACACCAACAACCACCAAACGGGTTATTTAATCACTCTATTAATAAAAAACTTTTTAAATTGTCGCCAATTAGCACTTCAACGTTCCGTGTCAATTTTAACAAGTCGAAAAGTTGAATATTTATTAACTTTAACACAAGATGAGGTCCATAATCAATTAAGTAAAGAAAACTTAACGATTATAATGACCGATTTTAACGATAGTAATAAATTTGCCAAAAGGAACGAGGGGCTTTTAAGCGTTTTAAATAAATTGGCCACACAATTTTATAATTTACCACCTTTGGAGTTAAATCAAAGAAAGTGTGTTAATCCGGATTTTATTAAAAAAATGGAAATAAATAAAACGTGGTATTTAAATGAGATTAAAAATAAATGTCGAGATGTAATGGAATGTAATCAAATTGCCGAACTTTTAAAAATTTTGGATTATAATGATGTTATCGGTGTTATGGCGGAAAAAAATTTTAATAAGATGATATTGAAAGACGTGTTTAAGAAGGAAGATAAAAAAGATGAATTAGATTTGTTAAAAGCAGCCGTTGACGTACTTTTTGAAGAATTAAATCAGTTTATTTTATTATCACCAAAAAATGATGATGACAAATTTTCAAATCAAGATTTTTGGAATACTTTGCAAAACTTAATTCCCAGCGTAATTGCTTACATTGAATTGGATTTAAAAATTCCCGACTCGCATATAAAAAATATCTGCATATTTTTTGTAACAGTTTTAGAGTCGATAACATATTTAATAAGAATCGATAAAACCGAAGTAAACGTCCATTTTATAAGTAAATCGCTTGAATGCGCTTGTACAGTTCTAAAAAATAATCAATTAATTAATATGTTATCATTACAAGAAAGTTCAATGTGGGTGAGTTCTTCCACAAAAGTAATTTTTAAACTCGTCTCGTTTTTGCTGTTAGATTTCGAACCTTTACCTATATTTACAAAAAATAATTTAAAGCCAGCTTTAGATGATATAGAAACGTCTGCAATCGCAAACGCATCGTATCAACTTTACGTTTTGATCGGTTGGATCGAAAGTTTACAAGTTAAAGAACGAAGAATACCTCTAACGCTCTTTAAACCGATTAAAAAAATTATCATTCTTTTATCACGTTTACCACAAGTTAATTCTTACGTTTTAACACCCCCGAGTTCTTGGAAAAATGGTTGGAACGTTGAATTAATCGGACCGTTTAAAAATCAAGTTCCCCCACTTCCTGTTGATTATATGCAACAAATAGATGTTTTGGAAGAGTTTATTTATCGGATAAATTTGTTGGGTTGGAGAAATAGGCAGCAATTTGAAGAGACTTGGATGTGCTTGTTGAGTGTTTTAAGTTCAAATGTTGAAGAAGATTGTTTAGAGGATACAAATAGATTAGCTCACGCTACTGGGTTAGCTGTTAGTGCGATAACTTCGATTTTAGTTCTAACTTTGTATTATCCTAATCCCGGGAATAGAAATACCTCTAAAATTATTCATGTATCAAGAGATTCTGTGATTAAGAATAATTCAGCTAGGTAAGTCATAAATAAATACAAAGAATAAAGTAAATGAGAATTATGTGCATTTATAGCATTAAAAAATTAAAATTAATCCAAAAAGATTTAATAGAAAAAGTTAACTCTTTAAATATTCAAGAAGAAGAAACAAAAATAATAAACGTATTTGATAAGCAGAATTTAGAAAAACACCACTCGTTATACTCAATAGGTCAAATTTCTATAGAATACTTATTGATATCATCAAAAATAGTGGAAGAACTCGACGAAGAAAACCCAATAGTCCAACTTTATCATAAAAACCAATCCAACTTAATCGAGTGTGGGGTAGATTTAAATTCTTGTATACAATTTTTACTAGATTTATATTCGCAATGGCTTAATGATCAAATTCATTCTAACGAACAAGTAAGTTATTTTTAAATAATTATTTAAAACTTTATTCAATTAAAAATGTTGTAGAATTTAGCTCCGTTAAGGGTTGTAAACGAAGTGATTAAGTCAGTGTTAATAATTTCGGACCTTTTCTTAGAGAAGACCCAGTTCCAGTGGATGTTGGATTCTATGTTAAATTTTTCGAAAAATCATGCTTCAGAAGATGAAATTCTTCATCAATATGTTATTATTAATATTTCAAAAGCAGTTGCTGTGTTAAATCCAGTAATATTTCTTTTTATATTAATTTTTTATCTAATTTATATACAGTGTGACCCGTTTGAAAGCGGAACACCCTCGTAAAATTTGTATTTATTATCCGATTTCGATAATTTTTTTTTTAAAAACTGTATCTTGGGACAAAGAGTGATATTTTTCTTAAAAAAAAAACAAGGCCTACTATTTCACTTTTTAGGTGCTAAAAATGAAGAAATCATATTAGCAAATTTNCTCGAAAATAAAAGATGGGAAAAAAATTCTACCTACGCCACTGAATTCTTCGTAAAAAGTTGCCCATATAATGTTTTATTTATAATACTCCATCTCTGATAATAAGTGAGATATTCGCGATTGTCGTTTTTGCAAAATTTTCAGTTTTTGCCGATAGGGTGAAAACAAAAGACGATAGCTGTTCGGAGTTTTCGGCATTAGCTTTTTCTCGAAAAACGGGATCATGACATGTAAGCTACTTTTTTTCTATCTCTTTTAGTTTCGGAGATAGTCTATGCGGACATCGAAATTGGGACACCTGTACACCACTGCATTAAGCGCCTTTTGAAATGGGCATATACCAAATCTCATCAAAAATGGTTACAAATCAACACCGTTAAAGATAATTGAAAAATACAATATTTTATGAATTTATTTGATCAGATGGAGTAAACCATGTCAAAAAAGGAAATAAAATACAGAGAATAATACAAAACTATTTAACAATATTTAACAGAAATTCAAAAAATTGAAGAAAAAAACAACATTCAAGGTATTAATAGAAAATAAAAACTAGTTAAATGTCTGTTGCTTCCACCAATCCACCGTTAAATTCGATACATTTATTGTACCTTCTTCGTGCATTCATTGTTACATTCCTCAGTTGCTCTGGGATAATGTCTGCACATGCCTGAACTATTCTAGCACGCAGTTCATCTAGCGACTGTGTCCTTGACCTGTAAACTTTCTGTTTAAGGATTCCTCAAGTCGAGTGGTGTCAAATCAGGAGATCTTGGCGGCCATTCAATAAGATGACTATTTCTTCCTATCAATCGATTTTCAAAATTTTTATTTAACCAACGCTTTACCACTACTGCGTTATGCACGGGAGACCCATCTAATTGAAATTTTATATTCGCACATACCAGAGGTGGTAAATTGTTTAGCGCATTCGAAAACTCATTTCTTAAGAAATACAAATATTTTGTTGAATTTAAATTGCCCTGTTGTCAAGTATTCCGCACCATACATTTATTTTATGCGAATACTGTCGCCTTGCGTTGATGATCCACTCTGGATTTTCTGTGCACCAATACCTTGAATTTTGCGATGACACCACGCCATTTGTTGTAAACGTGGCCTCATCGCCAAACAAAATTTCCCTTAAAAAGTTTCTGTTTTCCAAGTATTCACCTTGAGCCCATAAACAGAATTCTATCTCTTCGTCTCTTGGTTCAAGAGTGTGTAGAAATTTTGGTTTATAGGGTTTAATTTTATTTTTTGTAAGGCACCTTCTAATACATTCTCTTGGAATATTTAAATCTATGGCAGCCGTTCTCAAACTCGAATGAGGGTTATTATGAAAATATTCCACTATTTGATTATTATTTCTAATTTCCCGGCGTGGATTTTGAACTTTTAGAATTTGTTTTGATACACTGCCTGTATCGTTGAATACCTTATTTACCCGGTGAACGGTGCTAGCACTAACCGGAGGCATATCTGGATGCCTGTTATTAAATTCTATAGCCGCTTTTCTTTTCGAAAGAATATTATCGCCAACAAGGCGTACAATTTCAACTTTGTGTCTAACACTTAGTCGTTCCATAATTACACCACTAAATTGCACACTTTTTATAAAATTTTTATAAGCACAAAACTGACAGAAGTAATGCTTTAAATCACTTTCATAGAATTCAATTCTTTTTTTTTATTTCCATGGTTTACTAGATAACTATTTTTTTATTTCCATGGTTACAAATGTAAATAGTTTTTGTATTATTGGCTGTATTTTATTTCCTTTTTTGTCATGGTTTACTCCATCTGATCAAATAAATTCATAAAATATTGTATTTTTCAATTATCTGTAACGGTGTTAATTTGTAACCATTTTTGATGAAATTTGGTATATGCCCATTTCAAAAGGTGCTTAATGCAGTGGTGTACTCAGATTTTTTGTAAAAAATTTCCTAATATGATTTCTTCATTTTTAGCATCTAAAAAGTGAAATAGTAGGCCTTGGTTTTTTTTAAGAAAAATATCACTCTTTGTCCTAAGGTACAGTTTTTTACGCTCTACAAGTAAAAAAAAATTATCGAAATCGGATAATAAATACAAATTTTACGAGGGTGTTCCGCTTTCAAACGGGTCACACTGTACATATACAGGTGTCTCAGCGAGGCCGGTCATTAGACGTTTCTGAGGTTTTGGCCAAAATAAAAATTTGAGAATTCAGACTTAAGTATTATCAATTACGATCTCTTCGTCTAAAATATTTTCAGATTTCTAGCACTTCCGGTTATACCGGAAGTCGCCACCTACTTTATTTTTTTAATTGGAACACCCTGTATATTTGTATAAACCCTGTATAAATATTATTTACGTTATTAATATCCATTTTAACTGGTTTTAGACTCACTAGCATCAAACAACGTAAATCAGACTTTGACGTTTGTCAATAAGTCATTAAACATTTGTTTTCCATGGCACACTAGGCTAAATATCCATATGATATGTGTGCATTTTTCAAAAAACCCTAATTATTTCCTAAACTATTAATGTTAGGTATGGGACATATGGGATATAAGTATATACAGGGTGCCCATTATGTATGGAATATAGTATATATCTTGGTAGGTATCAACTTTATAAAAAAACATTTTACACAAAAGTTGTTTAATATTTGATTTGCCATAATAAGACAGCATTTCATTTTTTATTTCAGAAAACAAATGAGTAACGAATAACACTTGAAGGTTTTTAAATGACAATGTACCTTTTTGTTAGTTATGTTTTGCTCATTTGATACAGATTTTTTTTTCTCTTTACGATGACGTAAAATTTAGTACCCTTATATCAAAAAATTTTTGAAAAAATGTAAAAATTGTTTATTAAGAAAATCTAACTAATAACATTAATCGAATTATTGGATATTTACACTAATTTTTCGTATTTGTTTTATTTTGTATGTAAATTTAATTTACGGTAATAATTCGAGGTATTTGACGATCTCGGATATCTAGATTAATTTTTATTAATAACAATTTTTACATTTTTTTCAAAAATTTTCTGATGTAAAGGTATAAAAATTTTACGTCATCGTAAAGAGAAAAGTAATCTCTATCAAATGAGCCTAACGAAAGGGAACATTGCCATTTAAAAAAATTCAAGTGTTAGTCGTTACTCATTTGTTTTGTGATTTAAAAACAATTGAATGCAGTCTTATTATGGCAAATAAAATATTAAGCAACTTTTATATAAAATGTATTTTTATAAAGTCAACATTTACCGAGATATATACTATATTCCATACATAATGGGCACCCTGTATAAGTACCATAACTTAATTTTTTTAAATGGCACCCCTCATGTTTTATTACTTATACAGGGTGTCACACAAAAAACGCCCCAAGCTGTAACTCTGTCATTTATATTCCGATTTTCATGACCGAGGCATCAAATGAAATGGTTTGATGAATACTATGGTTCATGCTACAAATAAATTTTTTTCAAGGCCATCTTCAATTTTAAGCGATTATTAACTTTTGTTTTTCAAATTGCTCCATATATTTGTCTTCACGTCATTAGATAGAGATTGTTTTTCTGAATCCACTGATGTGCAATACATCCACTTTGAATGTAATTTTAGCAGAAAAAAGACACCTGTATATACAGGTTGTCGCACAAGAACGCCGTAAGCTGTAACTCTGTCATTTAACTTCCGATTTTTATGAACGAGGTATCAAATGAAATGGTTTGATGAATGCTATGATTCATGCTACAAATAAACNACTACACTTCAGAATAAACAACTAAAAATGGTTTCCAATAAACAACTGATCAATCTTATGGTGAGATTCAATATATATTGTTCTTCCACCTCACCATAAAGTATATAAAGAGAAAAAAACAGTATAGCGTGTTAAATATAAAAAAAAAGAATCGCGACAACGGTATAAAGCTATAAACAAAACAAGAGTTTTAACTACTAAGTTTTAACATATAATACTTAGGTGAATACTACCAAAGGCCACAACAAGTCGTTATCGATACCATGTCAGTACTCGAAAGGGTTCCCCAGAAATTAAGAACAAATTTAGGTAGAACAAAAAGATTACAAAAACATTCAAACGCAAAAGCAAGATCTGTGACTATTAAGAGATTTACAGGTATTGCGAACACTGCTGCCCAAACAGAAAATCAGCATAGCGCCTCCTGGCGGTGGCGGCAGACCCACACTCTGTCAATGCGCAACCAGAAGGGAGCTCATTAATTACTTTGCATATCTGGTATGAGAAGCATTTTTTAAAACTCATAGTGTGGAATATTGGTGGAGATCTGGTGGAATACTGGTGGAGATATTGGTAGTATTCATGAAACCATTTCATTTGATAACCCGCTCATGAAAATCGGAATGTAAATGACAGAGTTACAGCTTGAGGCGTTTTTTGTGTGACACCCTGTATAAGTAATAAAATATGAGGGGTGCCATTTAAAAAAATGAAGGTATGAATGAAATGATATGATAAAAATGAAGTTATGGTACTTCCAAATTTTGAAAAGTTGCCATAGTAAAGTGATCAAACGTTCTAGACCGCAGTTCTCGGCACCAAAACATACTCCATCATGTTGCTTAAGCATGTTCTCAATCCTAAATTGATATCCCAAAAATCGAGTGTTTTCTGATTTTTTGAACAAATGTCTGGTGGAGCAGATTTTTCTAGAAAAAATCGAATAACTCGAGAACGGCCGAATCAAATTGCAAAAAGTAAAGTTATTTATAAACCTTGAAAACAGACAAATCCAAATATGTAAAAATATACAGGGTGTTCCATTTAAAAAAATAAAGTAGGTGGCGACTTCCGGTATAACCGGAAGTGCTAGAAATCTGAAAATAATTTAGACGAAGAGATCGTAATTGGTAATACTTGAGTCTGAATTCTCAAATTATTTATTTTTCTAATGACCGGTCTCGCTGAGACACCCTGTATACATATAATTATCATTTTTGTTTCAGGATATGGAAGTTTATGAATACATTAAAAGATTAATATCGCAAGGATTGAAAAGTGCTTTCTTGGCGATGAGAATCGCAAGTTTACATGGATTATTATACTTATTGCAAGGTTGTATTCTTTCCAATACAGTTATTGGAGGAATTTCTGAAGAGTTACAGTTGTTTTTACCTTTAATCACTGAGTATGTGCAGTGTAATATGAATACAACAAACAAGTAAATAAATCAATGCAGAGATAGATATTTAGAATTAAAATTATTCATTCATTTCAGTGTGTTAATGAGATCGCAAGATCATAATTTATTATTATGGGCAATCACATTTTACGTAATCGAACATGTAAAAGAGATTCATCTTCCAATCGATTTTGTTGCAAATTCTGTTCAATCAGCCATTAGTTTATTAAACGAACAAAAGTTTACTAAAGTTTTTTATACGGCAGTGATAAAAGTAAATTAAATCCTTTTTAAAGACCTAAATATTTAAATTTACAAAACTTTTTTTGTTGTAATCTTATTGTAGGGTCTGGAAAGATTAATAATTACAAAATGTTTACCTGAACGTCTTCATGAACAAATTACTAAATTAGCTGTTGATAAAATGAAAGATAATAATCCAATTTATGCAATTCCAGCTGTTCAATTATTAATTAGTTGTATGTACATTGGTAAGAACAAATATTAATATATAAGTATGAATGTTTAAACGACCAGTGCTAATTAAACTAAAAACATTCGAGTTTAGCCATCTTAAGAGACGCACTAATCCCGAATGTTCCTAGTTCTGGATCTATTAGTGTTAATTTAAAAATATTAATAAAATTAATTAATTTGCAAATATTTTTTTTAGAATGTGAAGATCAATTAGAAGAAACAGAAAAATCAAACGGAATAGTAAAAACAACACCAGATAATTTAGTAAAAACGATCGAAAAAGTATCGGCGATATTTGATAAAATAAAAAAAGGAAATCTTTTCGACGTGGAAATACTTTGCGCAATCATCCCAAACATTTTAAACGATTTCTTTTTACCATCCGACATTTTAACAAAAGTAGTCGGCGAATTTCTATCGCCACAACAAAATCATCCAAAACTTTTAAGTCGCGTTGTTTTTCAAGTATTTGAAAGTGGAATAAAGCAAAATCAACTTCCGTTGCTTCAAGATTGGGTTGTATTTAGTTTATCGAATTTCGCGCAATCTTTTTCGGTGGGAATGGCAACCTGGTATCTGACTTGCTTCTTTATAAGCGCAAGTACGAACCGGTGGTTAAGATCGTTTTTTCCGTACGTTCAATCGAGAATCGGTCGATACGAATACGAAGATAAAAAATTGTTGTGTATAACGGGGAGCGATTTTTATAGAAATTTAACGACCGATAAACAAAGGGAAACTTTCATCGATACCTTCCGTAAAATTAAAAATCAAGTCGATATGCCCTATAATAATTTATTGGCGTCTTTGTAAACGGAAATAAAACTGGTTTTTAGAAACTATATATTTTTTGAAAAGATAATGTTATAAATATGTATTATAATATGATATTTTGTTGTTGTATGTATAGTATAATTTAAGACTATAAGGATAATAATAAAAATAAACATAGAAATTAAACAAATTTTATTTATGACTCTTTTAAATTTTTCAAACCATTTAGCTAGGCTTGAGTATATAGGGTGTTCATTTCAAAACTTTCCACTCAATTTCTGTAAATCCGGAAGTTTAAAAAGAAAATCGCTGAAATAGGTAAAGAATAAAACCAAGGGGGACAACTTTTTATGCAAAAATTGACTCACTCACTTCAACACCCCGCCGCACAGAAGCGAATTAGTTAAAAATCTTGGCCAAAAAGATATTTTTGTCAATTTTTTACTTCAAAATTGGTGAAATTTAAAAAATATCTATACAATTAACAAGGATAAAGTATTTTATGATATACTGCTATTTTACTTAATTGTATCTACCTATATTTTTATATACAGGATGGTCCGTTACTAATGAAACACAGAGGAACAGGGAACTCCTTACATTAAATTGTCACGATTTAACCCAATTTATGCTAGTAAAATACAGATGATTAAAGTTAATACTTTATCTTCGCTTTTCTTTAATAATTTTGTTTTCTTTTACATTATGGCCATGAAAATTGGTATATTACCATTTTTTAAGACGATAAATAATAATTTGGTATTAGTTTTGATTTATCGTTCAGATGGCGCTGCCTGCCTTAAAAAACCCCTTTCAAGTAGACATATCTTTTTCATCGTTAAAATTTTTGCAACTCACACAACTTAAAACAATTTTTCAGACATTTTTACATCAGGTTGGTATACCTACCAATCTTCTCTAAAGTTCCCCGTTTCCAAGATAATCACTGTTTAAGGGCACTTTGCAAAATTTAATTATGCTCAGTAAACATTAATTATCGTTAAAAATGATTTTATTTGGTCAATCTGGGAAGTTACGTTATATGTTTTACAAGTTCCTCTTTTTGAACAGTATATCGCTCAAGTGTTTTCNTTTCAGTAACTAAATAGTTGAGGTTAAAATACTAATACATTTTTAGATAAATACGATTTTAACGAAGTACATATTTATTGTAAAAACGTGCTACAAACTAATTAAATAGAACAAAATACCTTTGCTAGGTAAATAAATGACAAATAAACACCCCACAACACTTTTTATGCACCTTTTCTTTTTGAATAACGAAAGCTCAAACGTCAGTGTGACATATCTATTTCAAAACATGATAAAACAAAATCCCCTGTTAATTTTACCAACTTTACAACAATTTGACAGGTATTATAGAAAAAAAAAAACTATACGTTGGCTAGCTTGCCTAGCGTCTGTCAGAGATATTTAGAAAAAACGATTTCTGTTTCATTTTTCTTTTCTTTTAGGTTTATTTGGTTATTACTTAAACAACTTTTAACTGCTTGNACTGTTTATCACTCACCACACGGTAACACGTCTATGCAGACGCTTTTCATGGAGTTCCCGAGGGTTTTGTGCACTCCAATAATGGTAACTTCCGAACTCGCATTCGGCAATGCATTGATAACGAAGGAAAACATAATAACGTAACTTCCCATTCTGTAAATTCCATTCGTGTTAATACAGTTTCGTTAATTTGTACCATCTGTTTTTTATTCAACCTTCAAATTAGAATAATTAAGAATAATTAAATTGGGTTAAATCGTAATGATTTAATGTAAGGAATTCCCTATGGTTAATAATTTTCAAGAAAAAATCTTGCAAATAATAAATTGAATTGACACAATAACAACTTTTAATATTTTACCGAAAACTCAGCGTGTCAATTCAATTTTTTAATNACTAACATGTAGTACCTTAAAAGACCTTTAAAATGAGGTATCACTTGACACCCCTTTCCATTTAAGATTTTTAAGGGGTTGGTTTCTGGCGGCGGGGGGTTGAAGTGAGTGAGTCAATTTTTGCATAAAAAGTTGTCCCCCTTGGTTTTATTCTTTACCTATTTCAGCGATTTTCTTTTTAAACTTCCGGATTTACAGAAATTGAGGTGGAAAGTTTTGAAGTGAACACCCTGTACATGTTAGATTTTAAATTTTCTATTTATTAAAAGTCTTCCTCCATCAGTTTCTTCCTCTGACACAATCAGGATATTATCCAAAACGTCTGATGATTTGGAAGATTAAGTCCAGGATATAGTAATCGACTGACAGACGGTAAGTGCTAAATAACAACTAATACTTTTGTATTTCTAGTTTTATGTCTAGATCAGTGCAATAAAAATGTATCAATTTTCTCGAATTTTTATATCTTATTTTAATTAAATGTTTACTTTGAACTTGTTTCTAAATAAGGTTGCACAACATGACATCCGAAACGTCAAATTCTTTTTATTACACGTTTTAGTTCAGGTATTTTTGAATTCGCTGTTAATTAATTGATATAAAGGGTTCTAAACAAAGATAAAATAAAACACAATTATTCAACAGTCAATTTTCATTTTTTAAGCGTAACAACACAAGACTAGTTTCTGGTATTTTATAAATAGTGGATTAATACAAAAAGACCATTATATTCAAATGCAATTTCCATTTAAATACAGTTATGAAATATGAATCGAAATTAAACAATTAAAAGAAAGAAGAAAAAAACAAATCCCATCATATCGACATCTACAAAAATACACATATTTCGAATTAAGTATACACAAAGCGCAGGCAGATCATCGAGCGATATAATCCCCTAAAAACGTCTTAATAGTTAGGATACAAAAAAGGGTGCCTTCTCGATAAATTTCGTTTCGGTTAAAAGTAGTACACGTCGATGTCTCGCAATTCAACGTTCTCCCTGTTTTTATTTTATCCCTTATCAATCTAATCACATCGAAACAATACGAAAAACGTACATCTCGTTTAATCATTAAGTTTAAACGGCTATTTTATTTATTATTATTTATAGGCGTCTATGTAAAAATAAAGCCAAGTGTGTAATTAGTCCACTTAGTATCAGCTGTGAAAAACGCCCAGTAAATATAATATTAAAACGGTTCGTACAAATGTTGCAAAAATATCTATTTAAAGAGTGGAACTAAGTACAATATCCCTTTATTATTCATTTTATCCTTTATTATTATTAATTTTTTTATAAAAAAAGGGATTTCATATTTTGTATAAAGCAAGAACTAACATACAAACCACACTTAGTTGTACTGATTAAGAGGAATAGTATCTTTATACCCTGCAAATTTCTGTTGATTACTCGTTTATTTTTAATGGATGGATTATCTTTTGAGCAAAAAACTATTTTCATCTATATATTATTTATAATTATGCCCATTTCGTTAAACTAAAACTACAAATAGCACTATCACTAGAACTAACAAAACTTTTCGACGTGAACACTTAATTAAAATAAAAGATATAAAGAATCAAGAAAAGTAATACATTTTTGTTCAAGTAAAATTAGAACTAACAGTAGACCAGGAACTAGAAACGAGCGACTAATTCTAGCTATTAGAACTATCACTAGCAAAACTTAGTACTTAATCGTCTTGAGAGACGTACGGCTAAACCCGAATGTTTCAAGGTCTAGCGTTAGAGCTGGTGATAGTGCAAGCATTACTTCTAGCTATTAGAACTAGCACTAACATTAGACCTAGTACTAGAAACATTCTTGAGAGACACACGGCTAAACCCGAAACTTTCTATTTATAGGTCTAGTGTTAGTTCTAATGATAGTAAGTGTTAATTCTAGCTATTAGAACTAACACTATCACTAGCACTAACATCTTAAACCCGAATGTTTCTAAGTCTAGTGTTAGAGCTGGTGATAGTGCATTACTTCTCTGGAAGACTCCAGGGGTGCAAATCTTGTAGCATTCTGTAAAGAGAAGATGCTGGATTTCCGTATGGTTCGTAAATGGCGTGCAGACTACGATTATCTGTGTCAACTGGTGGACTAAGGAAATGAGAAAAAACGCAGAGTTGGATCAGGTCGGCAGTCGTTATTTTCTGAGTTGGAAGTGATTGCATCTGGGAATGGATTGCAGGCAGGAGTTTGGTTGTGCGCATGGCTGATATTTAAAAATTTGCCCTTGAAACAGCAATTGAATTTGATATATCCACAGAAGAATTTAAAGCATCGTCACACTGGTTGGACAACTTCCTTAAACGCTATGAACTGTCTCTAAGGAGATCAACAACATTGTTTAAGCTGGAAGACAATGAAGTTGTTAAGCGTGCACTTGCGNTTTAACACGTTGACTGCCACGACAATTTTCAGGATTCCGGTCCAAAAAGACAAATTAATTTTATTATGTTATACTGTTATAAACTCTAAATTAGGGTTAATATAAATAATCAAAAAGCGTAGGGAACGTGTTCTTTAGAAAATAACGATCATACGAATTATCTCGTAGTTGGCTTCTGTTACAAAAAACTCTTTGCAGAAGCCAACTACGAGTTAATTCGTACATACTAAACACGTTTCGACTTGTCGCTTGATGCGTCTAACTTCGTCAGTAGAAAATCAGATATAGTGGAGTACATTTTTACGTCTTTCTTGAGTGTGTATCTTTATAATTTTTATTTAATATCTCAATATGGATAAGAAACGACGACGGACTGAAAAACAAGTTGATTTTTACGACAATCCCAGCGATTCATAATTGGACGAGGGTAGTAACGACAGTAGCGATTCCGAATTTTCTGAAAATTCAATGGACAGTGATTATGAAGTAGTCTCCGAAACTGAAGATAATAATGATGTGTCCGAAGCAAGCACATCAAGTACGGGTGACAATTTGTGGACAGAAATTCCACAAAACCCTGAATTATTTGTTTTCCAAGAAAACGTTGGTTTTAAATTGGATACGACAAATCTTACAGTGCAAACGCTGGTAGACTTATTTTTTTCGGAGGAGTTTCTGGCATTATTGGTTGAGCAAACTAATTTATACGCTAAGCAAGAAATTGCAAATCTTAAAAAGATAAAAAAATCTAACAGGGCGGCACAGTGGATAGATGTGACAGTGTCAGGAATGAAAGTTTTTATTGCACTTTTGTTACAAATGGGCTCTTGTACATTTCCTTCAATAGAGCATTATTGGAGTAGAAATAAACTATATAATGTAATA